ATAACATGTTTTTTGAGGAATACCTGGAATATGAAACGATAACAACTTTTCATTACAAAGATATTGCAAGAAAACGACCTCACCGGGTCATTTTAGACCCACTTATGCATCTAAGGGTTAAAAGCCAACTAGTTATCAGATGTGTAAATGTGATAAATATTCTGTAAATATGTACAGAGATTTGTAAATGTGTGTTCAGATTTGCAAATGTATTGACATTTGTAAGTATGTAGACAAATCTGTAAATGTGTACATAGATCTGAAAACGTGTGGACAAATCTGTAAATGCAGACATACATATTTATAAGAAGTTAAGTATTTGCTCCGAGAGCTGGAAATACAAACAATTCATCGGTTACAACTCAATTACCTCTCTTTTACTCCTGACCTTTGCTACACTTCAGTCTACAAGAGACTAGTGTGTGTGTGTGTGTGAGGAGAGAATTGTTTGTGTACCTACGTAAGCACTTCCCCTTCTTTGACCACAGAGTCACAGACCACAGAGTCACAGACCACAGAGTCACAGACTGCAGACTGCAGACTGCAGAACAAAGTTCATGACATTTGTTCTTATCTTAGGAAATGTAGTCTTTTGGCACAAATGAGTTAAAACCTTCTTCTGTAGCCTACATGTTGAGCTCATGTAAGTCCAACCTGAGTAGGTCTAAATCAGCAACGGAACTAAGAAACACATGTTTTGGTACGTGGGGTCCTTAACCTGTAACAATGACTCATAGTTAATAAGTTACTCATGACTGTAGCAGTTAAATGTAGTGAAGGAAACACTACTTCCCATTCATCTAATGTAATGGAGTATATTAGCATATACTTATATAAAATACAAGTAGCTTAAAAGGTGCAGTAGATTACTACTTCCAATCACTACATATGGATTAATGTACATTAAATAACTGGCTAACAGGAGCTGAGAGGATTTGAAGGCTTGAAGATGGTATGTTGTAGGCTTTGTTAGGGCGACACCTAGCGGCCGAATGGTAAAGCGCCACTTTTACATCTCCTTCGTATGCCTTTTCTCTCTCTGCCTCTCTAACTCAAATATTCCAGTGATAATATATGCACCTTGTTAAAAAGCAATCCACCAGTTTATTTCCCTTCATGCATTTTCAGGACGTGAAAGGCGGCTTCCTCTACGCGTCACCGGTAGCCAGCCAATGGCAAGGCCGCATTTTAAGAGCTTAACCCGTGATGCTGAAGAATGTAAATCTGCACAGCGGCTCTCCTCTTAACTAATCATCCTGTTTGGCGACGCGAAAATAAGGACAACTTCAACCCCCCAAAAAACAATACATCGGATGAATGTGACCGGCACGTGGCGACATGACTGACAGGTGTAGCAGGCTCGTGCCGTTTACAGAAACAGGATATATTTCGCTGCAGGAGTTGCAAGCATAACCGTGCTCACAAATGACTGATCCCCCCAGCGAAGGTAATACCACACACTAAAATGAAGCATATTCTTGCTGGCTGGAAATACACGTTTGCTGAGAATAGTAATGAGAACAGAGTTAAAGATGTGGATCCCACATGGCCTTATTTCGCTTTCGCAATCTCAGTCATGTGTTGGAGGCATATAAACGGGTGTAAATGCCTCCATTAGGGTAACAGGATTGTCGCCTGATTTTATTCATCGTCAGGATAATAAAAGGGAAGCATCATGCAAGGAGAGAACACTTTTTTATTTATTTATTTATTTTACTCTCGTCATGTACATTTGATCTTTTATATATCTTATATTTATATATATATTATTTATATATTGTTCTTAATAGATGTTGCTTGTATAATATATGTTATTTCTGGAGTTTGTAACAAAAATAA